TAAGTAGATGATTTATTACTGATGATATGTGTTTATATATTGTATGATTTATCACGTGATTTAATCATCTCAATCACATACCTAGAAGCTGTCTTGCCTTCCATTTTACTTAGCTGCAAATTTAATTTATTCCAATATTTCCTTCCTCTTACAAAGACATTTTTGCTTAAAAAACATAAATTATGTCAATGAAATAACTTCAGTGGTGCATACAAGAGTATGACACATCTACAATTTCTTGTGTCATGTAGAAGAAAGCTGTGTTGTAAATGGCAATGCGAGAATAGAATATTTTGCCTTTGGGAGAATTGATTTAACAAGTACCCGAGAATATTTTCCAACTGCGCCTTTCCAATCTGATATTAATATACATCTGTTTCATTTGTTTGAAGATTATTCTCTGAGTGCAAATACGTGTCAAATTAAAAAATGTGTTGCAGTGGGAATGTCAAAATATTGTATTTCTGAGTCTAAGAATCTGCAGTAGCCGCTTTAACCTGGATCATTTGTTTTTAGATTACAGATGTTCAGTTCATATTTTCACCCTTACAAGAAAATTTCTTTTTAATTTTATTGTATGATCCATGAAATGCAAACACTATAACTGTTATAATTTTCATTGAACCTATTAAGTTACAGAAACCTAGAGATAGTTTCTAGTCAATTTCTGTAAAATGGTAAAAAACTGAAGACAATTGATTTATCTAATAGGTTATATAATTCAGAACATAATATAGTTCCTCATATTATCTCCATTACTAACCTGAATCATGAAGGAAGATTTTTGGCTGAATTTCAGATCAAGTAGTTTTACCTAAGCATTTTGAAAACAAAATTGGTCATCTTCACCACTGTGGAAGCAGTTCATAATTTTTCTGTCTGAAAAAGTGTATTGACAGAGATTTGTAATTTTATGTAACTACCCAGGAAAGAAAAAAGGGCCTTGAGAGTACGAAGAATGGACAGAATGGACTTTTTAAAATTGATTTTTATTGAGCTCTACATTTTTCTCTGCTCTCCTCTCTATCTCTTCTCTCCCCTTCAACCCTCTCCCAATTTACTCAGGAGATCTTGTCTTTTTCTACTTCCCATGTAGATTAAATCTATGTGTGTCTCTCGTAGAGTCCTCATTGTTTTCTAGGTTCTCTGGGGTTGTGATTTGTGGGCTGGTTTTCTTTGTTTTCTGTTTAAAAACTACTTATTAGTGAGTGCATGTGATAATTGTCTTTCTGGGTCTGGGTTACTTCACTCAAGATGGTGTTTTCTAGCTTCATCCATTTTCCTGCAAAATTCAAGATGTTGTTACTTTTTTTCTGCTGTTTAGTACTCCATTGTGTAAATGTACCACATTTTCCTTATCATTCTTCAGTCTAGGGACATTTAGGTTGTTTCTAGGTTCTGCTATGACAAGCAATGCTGGTATGAACTTAGTTGAGCAGCACATGTCCTTATGGCACAATTGAGGGTCCTTTGGATATATACCTAAAAGTGGTATTACTGGGTCTGAGAAATCGTCACACTGACACCCAAAGGGGCTCTACCAGCTTGCCTTTCCACCAGCAATACAGAACAGACTTTTGTATGTTTTGTGGTTTAGATGTAGTTTATCTCTGAATGTTCACTACATACAAGTTGATCCCAGTGGGTTTGTGTTGATGGAGCATTAAAGAGATACCGCTTTTAGAAAGTAATTGAGACTTTACTCCATTACTGTAATAAATTAAAGCTTTAATGATAGTGCGTGCTGGGTACTAGGTCAAAAAAATAGTGTGACTTAAAAATTGAGGATGGCTGTTATAAAGTAAGTTTATACAACAGCATATTTGGTTCTTTGTGTAGGTGGCTGTTTTGATTTATGTTTCTTTTTTTTAATGTTTATTTTTATTACATATACAGTGTTCTGCTTGCATGTATACTTGCAGGCCAGAAGAGGGCACCAGATCTCATTACAGATGGTTGTGAGCCACCATATGGTTGCTGGGAATTGAACTCAGGCAGTGTTCTTAACCTTTGAGCCATCTCTCCAGACCCATTGATTTATGTTTCTTAGTCATGTTGTATCCTAGCCATGATTTCCTTCCACAGGACATTGATGACATACTTCGTGGACCTAGCAACTAGTAAAACTCTACGCCAAATGAACTTCATCTTAACACAAAACGTGATTAACAAATTCAGAAGGTTTCTGAATGACAGAAATAAGGCATTCAAATTTTGTAAATTTTATAAGAATCATCCTTTGCCTTGATTGAATTATTTCTTCCAAGTCAACATAGTGGTTTTCATTAATTACCTGACACTTGCCTAGTAAAAGAATTTTTTTATTTTATTATAAAATTTTGTAAATATCAAATATGTCAACTCATTTATAAATTCAATGCATATTTGTGGCAGCATATACATAAAAGCCCTGTATTTGTTATTTTGAGTAGTAGCTAATTCTTGGGGGAATAAAATTCATTCTTAGAACCTAAATGCTGATGCTTTCAGTAGAATTTGAAGCTGGGCTTTTGTATGTGGAAAGAGGTGTGGAGCAAGAGCATGATTGAAACTGTCTGGAACTGAAAATCTATCTGTATGTTATTTATGGCAATTAACATAATTTAAAACTTTCTTACACAAATGATTATAAATGGAACAACTGTTGAAGAAGCATAATTATCTCCACTATATACAGATGTTATGAATGAATACAAATTTATATATAAAGATACCTAGTTGGTAATATTTGGTATACAACAAATGATCCAGAATTATTTATTTACTTCACCATTTTTATAGCAGTTTAAAAAATATTATACTTTGTGAAGGTAAAATTATTGTTGGGACCATTTGGAGTCCTGGCCTTCAGGATGCTCTTCCCTGCTCGAGCCTTCTGATTAGAGTTACTAAAAGCTGTGCCTTGCTTTGAGGATCAGAGAATAAGGTTTTCACCTGTTGGCCCACTTGACTGTTGGGTATATAAGCCTCCATGGTGCTATTGAATAAAGGGCTTCTTACCAGGGATTAGACGTCCCTGTGGCTGTCTGTCTCTGTGTGTGTTTGTGTATTTCAACCTCCAGCCCCTTGCCTGAAGCTCACAAACT